GCTGTTGGTGAAGCTAGTTTTCTCCTCTGCCACTGGGTGGAGGGACCACCCGCTGTGTTTTCTTCATTTCTCTGAAGGGTTGAGAACCAAACAAGATCATGGACATACAAAAAAAATTAGTAAAATGCAAACTTTAAATAACTTCTTGAATATCCCTACAATCCAGTTCTACACAAAACTTCCGCAAAACAGTGTTTTCAGACACTTGTACTGTGAGTAGAGGGTCGAGGTTCAGCAATGTTGTTACTTCTTCTGAGATGTGAACAAATGTCTGTCCACTGCAGATGGGGCCAATGACCAGAGCAGTGGTCCTCAACCTTCCTAATGCTGCGACCTTTTAATACAGTGCCTCATATTGTGGTGACCCCCAGCCATAAAATATTCTGTTTCTACTTCATAACTGTAATTTTGCTAGTTATGAATCATGATGTAAATATCTGACATGTAGGACATCTGATATGCAACCCCCAAAAGGGTTGTGACCCACAGGTGGAGCACTGCTGAATTAAAGAAACAATTCTTCTATTCATGTCCAGCATAGCGAGTCACTTGGTAAGACTTACCTACAAGAGCGTGGGTGAGGGGTTCCCTACAGGAGCAGGGGTGAGGGGTTCCCTACAGGAACAGGGGTGAGAGGTTCCCTACAGGAGTAAGGGTGAAGGGTTCCCTACAGGAACAGGGGTGAGAGGTTCCCTACAGGAGCAGGGGTGAAGGGTTCCCTACAGGAGCAGGGGTGAGAGGTTCCCTACAGGAGCAGGGGTGAGGGGTTCCATGCAGGAGCAGGGGTGAAGGGTTCCCTACAGGAACAGGAGTGAGGCGTTCCCTACAGAGCAGGGATGAGGTTACTTATAGGAATACGGACGACCCCAAACAGGGGCCTCACTGACAAGTTCTACCAGAGCCGATGGAGATCTCTTGAATGGTGTGTTAGTGGAGCCTGCCCCTGCCCACTTAGTTTTCCAGGACCTCCGGGAACCACATGCATCTAGGGCCAGATGGTATGCAGCTGCTGAAGGGGCTGGCATGGGAGGGACTGAGCAGCTGGGGTATCAGGTAAGGGTTGAGTGACCCTCCCCACCTATTTCTACAGGGCATGCTAATTCTGGGCTGGATCTTGTGAGGCTGTGGGTATGGGCAGACAGCTACACAGACTGCAAGGTAACAACGGCTTTGTCATGGCTGGAGAGCTGAGTTCTGCTTGAGTTCTCCAAAGCCGCTTTGGTGATTGCGTTCTGCAGGAACATCTTCACGAATGGACCTTGGAGTTGAGGTCTACCCTCAGTTGTCCTTTACAGTGTTGCAGGGTTGCTTAATGGGAAATGTAGTGTGCTTTTTTTTTTCTTTACACGTGTTGAGAAAAGAAACCACGGCAGTAATGCAATCAGGACACTGGTGAAATACATTGCAAAAGAACCAGGAAACTCATCGCAATGGAGCCTGCTGGGTTCTGCTGCAAGTTCAAGGGTGAACGGGAAAGTCAGCTTCTCATAGGAAGCAGATTCGTGAGTGGTGGGCTCCTGTTCTGCCTGTGGTGGTGGTGAGTGCCAGCTATGACTCTGGAGAGCCTTCATGTTCAGAAGACTGTAAACAACATGACACAAGATTCAGATTCTAACATGACATTTGGCTTTAAGTGAGAAAAATTGCCTCCCCAAGCACCATCTCTTCATTTGAAAATAGTAACTCACATGCTGGGGCCAATGTTAGACCAGAGCAGTGGTCCTCAACCTTCCTAATGCTGCGACCTTTTAATACAGTGCCTCATATTGTGGTGACCCCCAACCATAAAATTATTTCATTGCTGCTTCATAACTGTAATTTTGCTAGTTATGAATCATGATGTAAATATCTGACATGTAGGACATCTGATATGCAACCCCCAAAAGGGTTGTGACCCACAGGTGGAGCACTGCTGGATTAAAGAAATCATTCTATCCATGTCCAGCACAGCAAGCCAGTTGGCAGGACTTACCTACAGGAGCGTCAGGAGACGGCTTGCCTTGAGGCTTTGAGTTTAAGCATGCAAAGCCAGGTGTGGTGGCTGTGGTGGCCATGTGTATGTAGTTCTAGAACTGGGGAGTCAGAGACAGGCAGATCTTGGGCAGTTCCCAGGGATCCAGACCAGTGAGAGACCCGTGAGAGCGACGAGTGCTCTTACCCACTTAGCCTTCTTCTCCAGCCTCCGCCTGTAACTGTTTTAATTTGTATCGAAAATAGATTTTTTCCATACAATATAGTCTGATCATGGTTTCTCCTCCCCAAACTCCTTCCACAGCATCCACACTTCTCCAAATCTACGCTTCCTTTCTCTCTTTCATTAAAAAACAAACAGGCATCTAAAAAAAAATAAAATAAAAACAAACAAACAGGAATAGGGCAAAACAAGCAAACACTCAGAAACACATGCAGGTGCACACACACACTTGACTCTCCCGGAAATCCCGTAAAACACAAAACTGGAAACTACAGTATATGAACAAAAGGCCCACTGGTTTAAAGTAAGCCCAAACAAAGCAATATCAGACAAAATCCTCCAAAAGTATCACTGAGCTCATTGTAGCTCAGGTGTCAGGATAACTGTGGGCTCTTGAAAGGCGATGTTCCTTCTGTTTCTTTTGCAGAATGTTTTGAGGAATATTGGCATGAATTTTTTGAATTCTTTCATCTGGTAGAATTCTGTGCTGAATCCACCTGGCTCTGATTTTTTTTTCCAGTTGGGAGACATTTAATGACTGCTTCCAGTCCACTGGCGGCTATTGGTCTGTTTAAATTGCGTATATTATCTGGATTTAACTTGGGTAGGTGGAATACCTCAAGGAATGTATTCATTTATTTTAGGTTTTCCAGTTTGGCGGAGCACAGGTTTTCAAAGTGTGTCCTTGGGATCTGGACTCCCTTGGTGTCTGTTGTTCTGCCCCCTTTCATCTCTAATTTTGTTAGTTTGGATCTTCTCTCTCCACCTCGTAGTTAATTCGGCTAAGGGTTTGTCCTTCTTACTGTTTGTCTCAAGGAATCAGCTCTTTGTTCCATCGATTCTTTGTGTTGTTTTTGTTTGTTGTTTCTATTGTGTTGATTTCAGCCCTGAGTTTGATTATTTCTTGTTATCCACTCTTTTTGAGTATGATTTCTTCTTTTTGTTCTAGATCTTTCAGATGTGATATTAAGTTACTAGTATGAAATATCTTCTCTTTTTGTGTATCTCTCTCTCTCTCTCTCTCTCTCTCTCTCTCTCTCTCTCTCTCTCTCTCTCTCTGTGTGTGTGTGTGTGTGTGTGTGTGTGTGTGTGTGTGTGTGTGTGTGTGTTGCTATGAACTTTCCTCTTAGAACTGCCTTAGATTTGGGTGTGCCATAGATTTGAGTATGTTGCGTTTTCAGTTTCACTCAATTCTAAAACATTTTCAATTTCTTTCTTAATTTCTGTATTGATTCATCCAGTAGAGAGTTGTTCAGTTCCCATGAGTTTGTAGGCTCTCTGCTGTTTCTGCTGTTCACATCCAGCTTTAATCATGGTGGTCAGATCTGACACAGGATGTTACTTCAATTTTCTTGTATCTGTAGAGACTTGCTTTGTGTCCAAATATGTGGTCAATTTTGCATAAGGTTCCATGAGCTGCTAAGAAGAGGGTGTATTCTTTTATGTTTGGGTGATATACTCTAAATATCGGTTAGATCCATTTTATTTATGACGTCAGTTAACGCCAGCATTTTTCTGTTTAGTTTTTATCTGGATGACCTGTCCATTGGTGAGAGTGGGGTACTGAAGCCTCCCACTGTCAGTGTGTGAGGGTCACTCTGTGATTTAAACTGTAGCGGTGTTTCTTTTATGAATGTGGGTGTCCTTGTGTTTGGAGCATAGAATTGCACCTGGTGGACTTTTCCTTTGAGGAGTAGGTAGCATTCTTCCTCATCTCTTCTGATCAGTTTGGTTTGAAGTCTATTTTGTCAGATATTAAAATGACTATACCAGTTTGCTTCTTGGGTCCATTTACTTGGGTAGTTTTTCATCCTTTTACCCTGAGATGATGCCTGGCCTCCATGGTAAGGTGTGTTTCTTAGATGCAGCAGAAAGATGGATTGTGTTTTTAAATCCAGTCAGTTAGTGTGTGTCTTTTTATTGGGAAATTGAGACCATCGATGTTGAAAGTTATCAATGAGCAGTGTTTGATTTCTTTTATTTTCTTTTTCTTTTTCTTTTTTTTTTTTTTTTTTTTTTTTTTTGGTTTTTCGAGACAGGGTTTCTCTGTGTAGCTTTGCGCCTTTCCTGGGACTCACTTGGTAGCCCAGGCTGGCCTCGAACTCACAGAGATCCGCCTGGCTCTGCCTCCCGAGTGCTGGGATTAAAGGCGTGGGCCACCACCGCCCGGCTTCTTTTTCTTTTTTGACAGGGGCAAAAGAACTTCTTTTAAAATTAGGAACTCAGTCCATTTGGTGTGTTTCAAAAGGTGCAATACTTTTTTTCATTTATCAATGAAAGAAGTTAGAAATTATCCTTCTCCCCAAATCAGCAAATGGCAAACACACACCCTTGAAAGTCACAGTCACACACAGAGTGCATCCTAGAAAGTGGGGCCAGACAGCTTCCATCCACCTTCATGAGTTCCATCAAAGACTGGATCCACTCAAGGGTGGAGAGAAAAGGCATCTTCCGAGAAGGAGTATGCTATTAAACGAGGCATTTCTGCACTCCTTCCTAAGAGCACCAGGTGGGGACACATTTGCTAAACTACACCTGGGGAGTGGAATGTGGAAATAATCTGTCCTTCTCCCTAAGGGCTGTCCACTGGTTAACAAATTTTAAAAAACAAGACTAAGAAACACACACCCCAAAAGGAGAGAAGAGCTTGGGTTCGGGGGACCTAAGATGCCCCAGATTACTCTCCAAAATGGAACCAGGGAGCAGCTTTGACAATTCAAATTAGTTTGTTACAAAGTCATCACAAGCTTGTCTTGCTTTTAAACAAAACAAAACAAAACAAAACAAAGCATTGGTGGGTTTTTTTTTTAAACAAGGAAACAAAAACTAATACTCATCACTTTTCAGACAATACACAATTATTCAAAATTAACTATTACTGGGAGGGGGGCATACCATTGGGCCTTGTCTCACATGAGTGCATGTGGGTAGGTGCAGGGCGTTTGTCATTATTGCAGAAACGAATTTTAATTTTTAATCTTTAGTTTGATTTAAACATCGCTTTTAGTATGAGGACAACACCAGCTGTGCAGAATGGGCTCTGGAGAGGCGTTCATAGCAGCGCATACCTGTGGCTCTTCTTCGGTTCTGGAGGCTCCAGGGCAACCAATATTGCTTCATCAAATACATTCTTTAGGCCTTTCTGTGTGAGGGCAGAGCACTCCACATATTTGACCACCTTCAGATCCCGGGCCAGCTTTTCAGCAGTCTCTGCAGTGATAGGCTTCTGTTTGCTCTTGGCAAGTTTCTCTATAGTAGAGGGGTCATCTCTGAGATCAATTTGGGTCCCAACAAGCAAGAAAGGAGTCTTTGGACAGTGGTGAGTTATCTTAGGCACCCACTTTTCTTTCACATTTTCAAATGAGGATGGAGAAACCACTGAAAAACATACCAGAAAAACATCTGTTTGTGGGTAACTCAGTGGTCGTAGTCTGTTATAATCCTCCTGCCCTGCAGTATCAAAAAGTCCAAGAGTACATGGCTCTCTACCAATCATAACTGTGACTGCATAGTTGTCGAAAACAGTTGGTACATATTCTGATGGAAATTTGTTTGTTGTATAGGATATCAGGAGACATGTTTTACCAACAGCCCTATCGCCAACAACAACACACTTAATTGTCTGCATTTCGGAAATAGTTTTGTATCCCCTTTTAATATTTCAAATTAGATGTTGACCTCAGCTTCTTCACCGGGGCATTGGCAGCACTGCGCGGGGCCTCCTCCCCTTTTATTTTCTTGTAATGGTATGAGTTCCCCCGCCTCTCATTTGATTTGATTTAACTTATTTCTTTTGTTTACTAGGATGTGGTTAACCTGATCAGATTGAAGTTTTTCTCTTGGCTCCTTCTGCAGAGCTGGAGTTGTAGATAGATACTGATTAAACTTAATTTTGTTTTGAAATATTTTTCTTTCTTCATCTACTGTGATTCAAAATTTTGCTGGGTATAGTAGGCTGGACTGGTATCTGTGGTCTCTTAAGAGTCTGCAGCACGTCTGTCCAGGTCTTTGTGGCTGTTAGTTTCCAGTGAGAAGTCAGGTGTTACTCTAACAGGTCTACCTTTATATGTTGCTTGGTCTTTGTCTCTTGCAGCTTTTAATATTCTTTCTTTGTTCTGTACATTTAGTGCTTTGATTATTATGTACTGAGGATAGTTTCTTTTCTGACCTAGTTTATTTGGTGTTCTGTAAGCTTCTTGTATCTTGATAGGCATCTCCTACTTCAAGTTAGGGAAATTTTCCTCTATGGTGTAGTTGAAAATATCTTCTGTGCCTGAGTTTCTTCTCCTTCCTCTATTGCTATTCATAGATTTGGTCTTTTGTTAGTGTTCTAGATAACCTGGATGTTTTGTGCTTGGGTTTTGTTTTTCAGATTTAATATTTCCTTTGACTGAGCTATCCATTTCTTCTATCCTGTTTTCAGTGCCTGAGATTCTCTCTTCCATGTCTTATATTCTGAGACTAGCCAGGTTTTTGTTTGACTCCCCAAATTTTTCATGTCCAGTTTTGTCTCAGTTTGGGTTTTCTTAAGTGATTTATTTCTACTTTCATGTCATTGATCATTTTTATTATTTTATTCCACTACATGCTTGTCTTTTCACAGACTTCATTAAGGATTTATTCACAACCTTTTTAAGGTCCTTGAACATACTCATGTTAGCTATTTTGAACAGCTATTTTGTTAGCTATTTTGTTTCTGCTTTGACTATATTGTATTTCTTGGGGTCTATAGTAGTGGGTTTGCTGGGTTTTTAGTAGAGACATTTTGTCTTGGGTGTTGATGATTGTGTTTTTGCACTGGTGTCTAGGCATCTGGGTTTAGAGTGATTGTGATTCTGAATGTTGATACCTGGTCTTGCCTTTGTTGGTTGGGTGTTTCTGGTTTTTTGTTGCCCTCTCTGCCTCTTAGGAAAGTGTGGTTGCTGTGAGCTGTCTGGTAGGGAGTGCTTCTGAGTTACTGTTAGGTGTGGCCACTGGGGGTTCTGGGCAGTACTATTTCTAGGTGTTGGGGGCTGACAGGAAGGAATGGGAATGGGCTTGAAGAGGGGACTGAGAAGATCCTCAGGAAATAGGAAAGCTGGGTCAACCACAAGGTTTGGCAGAGTCCGCAGGGATTGGAGGTAGGGTGGGAGGACAGATCCCTGCCGGTGGTCTGCTGCAGAGTCGGGGATGAGACGGAAGAGACTGTGCTGGAGGACAGGAAGGAGAGTGGGAATCGCCTACCTGAGTCCTTGTCTGGTGTGGCTACTGGGGATCCCAGGTAGAGAGTCTTTCTAGCTATTGGCGGTTGACACAGAGGAGCTGAAATGGGCTAGAAGGGGGAGGTGCTGAGAGGGTCCCCAGGAAAGTGGACAGCTGGGTCTGCTGTGAAGTCCGGTCAAGTCCCCAAGGAGTGGGGTCAGTGAGGGAGGGCAGGCTGCTGCAAGTGATCTGCTGTAGCGACGAGATCTGCCCCTAAGTTTTTAAAAGTAACTCAGAAAACATGAACGCCTGGACTCAACTGAAAAACAAAAACAGGGCTGGAGAGAGGCCCGGCAGTTAAGAGCACTGGCTGCTCTTGCAGAGATCCCGGTTCAGTTTCTAGAACCCCACAGAGGCTCCCATTCATCTTTAACTCCAGTTCCAGAGAAGCCGACGCCCTCTTCCGGCCCTTGCAGGCACTGCATTCACGTGCTGCCATTAAGTACCTACAGGCACAAGTTCAAACACGATCAAATAAACATGAAAATGAAAAAGGAAACGAAGAACACGAGGCAGCCTTGGAAATAAACGCATTTCCTACTTTTACTGATCAAATTTAATTCTGTAAGCAAAAAAAGAAAAAAAAAAGTGGGCCCCAAATGTGCAGACCTCAAGTTTAGTATTAAACCTGTATTTCTGGTTAAGGAAGCAATGAACCCCCACAGAAGCCATAACAGGGTTGGAGGGAAGACTTTTCTGCTCTGGAAACCGTCCTAAAGGAGCACTAAAGTACATTGTTGTATCTTGTTTGGGGCCTTCCTTCCTCCCTCCCTTCCTCCCTCCCTGTCTTTCTTTCTCATCCTTTTTAGATCAGATTCAAAGTGATTTAGGTCAGTAGCAAGTGCATTCTTATTTCTCTGTGACTTCGGATAGATTAATGTTTAATAAGTAAATAAAGAATTAAAGTTTAAGATGTTTTGACCAGCATGGTAACGATAGTTTTTTAGCAATTCCCCAGCCTTTTCTGTCCACAGCCAATGTCTGAAGAGTCTACTCATGAACAGTGAAAAGCTTATGATAAATTTCTCTTTTTTTCTCAGGCAAGAGGAAATTCAAACATATATTTAATGTTTTTATTGTTTCACTTGCTCAGATCTGCAGAGAAAGCTGTCAACACAGCCTTCTTCATGCTTGCTTCAAAGATGGTTTCTTTCCATACCTGGTTGCGGGCCCTCGAGGAAACCACACAGGACAAAGAAAGTGCGAGACTCTCTGTACTTATTTTTTCTCATTTGATACTGTTAATCCCACTGATCGAGAAGAAGACCACTACCACAGTTTAAAGCCAAATTTGAAGCAAGTTTGAATTAAATACTGGCCCGGTGGATGGGCTCTGGCCAGGTCCATACCCAGGTTCCTGGGAAATGGCCCAGAATCAAGTATGGCAAGGGCTTAAGAAGGAAAACCCACAATTCATTGCATTTCCCATCAGGTCCAGTCAGGGGCAAGCATACATCCTAGTGTATTTCCTGCCTACGTCCCTCCTACCCACAAGAGATCAAACACATCCCGTGCAGATGGGTCAAACAAACCTGTTTAGGGGAGTGAAAAACATGTGTCCTGTCATCTCCCATAAACAACAGCCTCCAGCATTTCAAGAACTATCTGCCCTTGGGCAAGGGGCTTACAGATCAGAGGCATTTTTATTTCATGGATTCATAGGCATACTTAGTAATTAAAACTTAAAATGTAACTCTCACAGATATGTTCTCCATATATCAGCCTATCAGAATCAACTTCAACTGATAATCTTCCAACTTCTGGATGAGAAAATTTATAAAGAACTTTGCTAAATATCTTACATCAAGGACATAAAAATAAAGCCCAATGGTAGAGTCTACTAACTCAGCAAATGCTTGGTGGAAGCAAGAGGAGAGCTTTTTGTCTGCAGGTTCAGGAGATGCCTACATGTGGGACACAGGGATGATCTACATTTTCTATACATGAGATTAATGTGCACAGAGCTCCATTTCGTAGTATGTAAGGAATGGTTAAATGCATCAAGCAGTGTGTGGAAGTCGGGGGGGGGGGGGGCATTTCTTTCCTACTCTATCTAGTTCCTTAATTGTCAAGGACTTGCCTCAAGTGTAACATGCCCTTCATCTTACCCAGGCACTCACCCTACTTCTGAGAGGTAAAAATGGCTTATTTGCTGGGTGGTTCAGAGCGCTGCTAGAGATGAGCGATGCAGTTTACTGGACTTTTGAGCTGGGCCCCTGAGGACTAAACAAAACGGAATGCTAAAGACTGGGTTAAGAATCATCTTTAGTGTTAGTTTTAAGACATGTTTTACTTTTCCAAGTCTGTAAAGCTTGAAGTATGCTTAAAATAAGTCAGATATTTTGTTCATATTTAAAACTACTCTGCCAGAAGAACCAGATGCTCCAACTGGTTACTGAGTCTTTACCCAGCTGTTTAATAGGATTAACAACTTGCTGTTTAATAGGATTAACAACTTGCAGTTAAAGAAGTGGTTCAATTTTCTTACTTTTTTCTTTGTATTTCACGTGTATAGGTGTTTTGTCTGAATGGATATCTGTGCACCATGTGTGTGCAGTGCCCTCAGAGGCCAGAGAGGGTAAGAGATTCCCACGGGCCTGGAGTCACACAGTTGTGGACTGCCATGTGGATGCTGAGAATCAGACCTGGATCCTCTGAAAGAGCAGCACATGCTCTTAACCATTGAATCATCTTTTCCACTCTTGAGTCTTTTTGAGGCAGAGTTCAGGTTAAAAGATTTCTTTGTGGCATTTATTATTAACTGTATGTTTTTGTCAGCACATGAACAATACTGAAAATGAACAAGCTTATACTTTTATGATGCAATATCACTGTTCCGATTGAGTGTGCTTTTTCTTTGATGTCAACATTGAATGATGAGTTCAATGGTTCTTTACACCGGAACCAAGTATTGGTTCTCATCACTCGGGTGACATTCTTTGTCTTAATATCATACTCAAATTGCCTTGATCCACGGAAGAAATAGAAGAAGCCTAGAAGAAGAGAGGCATGGTTAGTTATCTTGCATAGTCAAATTGCTCCTCTGTATTTTAATTTCATAAATGTAGAATCCAATAGCATTGTAAAGGAAAAAAGTCACTGTGGAATTATAGAGATGTATTTTGCTTTCACCCCACTCCATGCAAATCACCAAGAAGAAAGCCTACCACAAGTTTCAAAGGATTTCTGAGTGTAGTAGCCAGACTGCAGGTGTCAAGCTACATTTTAACAAAGCATCTCACTGAGGGGAGAAGAAGGCCCCTCTGAGTTTTTCCTTCAACTCTCTACCCTCATTCCTATAGATCTGCAACACTTTTGATCTATTTCAGGCTTTGAGGTTCTGGTTAGATATCATGGAGATAATCAATTGAGGCATCAAATGTTTTTAAAATATTATTGTTAGCATTATAAGTGTGTGTGAGTACATGTGCATTCCATAGCATATGTGTGGAGGTTAGAG